CATATTCTTGAACGGAAATAAACGCGTTTTCTACTTAATTTCGAATGCAAACTATGTCGAGATTTTCGGGGCATAATATATTTTGCAGACTTCAAACCTGTGTATGGAAATACACTTGCCTGCATCTAAAAGAACTGTTGACCAGAAATGAATTTGGTGGGTTCGTCATAAATTGTAAAACAGAGTTACTTTATAAAATCAGATATCAGCCTTACGACCAACCGCCGCTAATTTTGTCCCTACTCAGGTTAAGAGGATATTTAACATGCAATTATTCGCGGAAGGCGAGGAGAATATCCCTCAATAAACCAAGACGAAGTTGAGGTTTTTATTCGGCGATATTCACCCAGCCTGAGGTGAATAATTGTTTTAGTATAATTAAAAAGTAGTATGGTTATCAAATACTATGATTTTTTTTTAAAAAAAGGAATCGTTTGAAAAAAATACATAACGCATTTCTTCATCTTTCACTTTGACAGAGACATTTTTATTTGCCGCCATTTTAAAAAATCGCTTAGGTGATTATCAAGTAATAACCTCAGGTCGTTTGACCAATCAGATGAATATTTTTTCCTGGAACCCAGTCCGTAACCGCCACCCTTTCCGTAAAAAAAGCTATAAAACCTTGAGTCGTACGTCAACAAATATCATTCCGCGAACTGGGGTACATGTGGTTGGCAATTTTGCGAAGTGCATCTACAAGTAATTGCGAGAAGATTTCTTGTAGACGGTATAGACGTGTATATGCATGGTACTGCGTACTGGTACTAAAACAAATTAATTCTAAAACTAGGTTACCGTAATGGCCTATGTATCAAAGAAAATCTTCAGGACATACTCTCTCCTTGGTGAGTACTTTCGCTATTCCTCCACGCTGTGTCTAATAATTCATTGATTTATAATCTTTGCTCGATTCACTGTCATAAACAGCTTCGTTTATGGAAATTTGAAGGCCACAAATTGACCTTCTGACTCTGTCGAATAGACAAACTAAAAGTTGGTTCATAAATCATAATTCGCCTTTTGTATTCGTTATATATAAACTGGACTATCACGCAGCAATGAAGAACGATGTGTTCTTAATTTTGCACTTGTACTTAACTTATAACCCCTTCATGTGTAAATTCTTCTTGCAGATCGAGTTATTCATAATGAGCCATGGGACATTCCTAAATTCAAGGTTCCATCACAAAAGAAAGATATCTGGGAAGGTCAGTCCGTTTAGGAACTGAGCGGCAGTGTTGTGCACGAATATTTTGCACGATTTTTTATTTTACAAACCTTACATACATTTTTCCGCGAACTATAAAACGAAACTGAATCATATGCATCATATTTCAGCGAGGCAACCGGAAATATTATAAACATGCATTATCAAAGGAAGTTGTATTTTCGATGTAAAAAACTCGTACACTTAAAAAATGTAACCGATGAAAGGTCATCAGCTTAAGGGTAACTTGTGAAACGTTTCGAAGCAAAAGTGTTTTTTTGTAGCATAAATGCTCGCGCCAACTTCGGAATTACTCGTGAATTTACGTCTGCGGGCAGGTTACAATTAAATTACAGAAAACCTGTCGATATGCATAGCGCCACACGGTTTGAAAAACTTTTTTATTCCTAGATCATTTCGAACAAGGTTTAAGACACTTAGATGAAAATAAATCAAATCTCGCTGAACAATCGCTCAGTAAAGCCTTAAAAATCCTCTCTGCTTCCTCAATGACAAAACAGCTTAACAAAGAGAAAGCAACATGCTTCCACGCTATGGCGGAAATCTATTCAACCCGAGCATCGCAACAGATGGATGATGACGGTTTTTGTGAAATGATAGTTAAAAGCATCGCTCTTTTCGAGGCTGAGCGAATTTACAAGCACGGCAGCTACAAGGCTGACGAGAAAATCGACACAGCCATCTTCGAAGCAGAAGTAAAGTTCATTAGTAAAGTATTTGGGGCTGGTGGTGTCGATCATTACAAGAAGATGGAAAACAAAAAAAATCTGAATCGGCAAAAGTTAGAAGAGATTCGTTTGAAACAAACTAACGAATATTTCCCTGCCCTTGACAGACTTCCGGATTGGAACTCAGGAGACGAAGAAAGACGATGCCAAGAAATTGAAAAGATATATAAACAAATTGATGATGATATGAAGTGCCTTGTGGTTGAAATTTTTTCTTATTGTTGTGAAATTGCTGGCTCCGCACCCTGCAACTTTTCTATCATTGGTCTGGGATCTATGTCTAGACAAGAGATTACTCCATACTCTGATTTAGAGTTCGCAATTCTGGTGGAATCCAAAAACAAAAGCTCTTCGTCAGAACAACGGCAGTATTTTCGATTCCTGACCTACTTAATTCAAGCGCAAATCATCAAATTAGGAGAAACTATTTTGCCTAGTGTCGGCATTTCTAGTTTAAATGATTTCTACAGTGGGAATATAGAAGATGATTGGTTTTACGACGATGTTATTCCCAAAGGATTTTCATTCGACGGTATGATGCCATGGGCCTGCAAGACTCCTCTCGGAAGGAAAGAATGGCGTGGACAACCTCGGCAAGAGTACATCATGACTGTGGATGAAATGCTGACGCTTCAAGACGTAATTCCCGGCTCTGCTCTCGAGAGTCTGAAAACCGCAAACGTTTTCAGCAGCGTGTGCCATCTCTTTGGCGACGAAGAACTGACAAAATCCTACGAGCAGAAATTGTCTTCCCTGGTCACTAATACCGAGAGGAGGAAAAATTTCCAAGAACAAGTCTTGGAGATCATGGAAAGTTTGCTGAATACCTACAACCTGAATTCACTCCATTTATCTGCCTGTGGAACGCAACAAAACGTGAAGAGAGAGGTCTATAGATTAGCAAATCTTCTGGTGGAACAATTGTCAAAATATTTTGGAATTTTCGGGCACAGTTCTTGGCGATGTATACATGAAATGAAAGTGAAGAAGATACTTACTGAAGATGGGGCAAAGAATTTGCGGGCAATGTTAAGTATTACTACAGAACTCCGATTAAAATGCTACCAAAGGCAAGGCAGACAAAAGGAGGCATTGCCTACAGTTCCACAACTGTCGGTCACTGAAAAAAAATGTACGCCTTGTTCATTTACGACAGCCATTGTCCGTCTTTATAAGAGTCTTATACCGTTGTCATCAACGATGTCTAATATCGTTTGGAAAATCAAAAAAACCCATCATCTGGTGATTATTCCGCTGACCGCTAAACCAAACATAAATGAAATCGCCGAATGTCTCAAGAACTACGACTTAAAAGACGCTGAAACGATACTTGTGAAAGGGCTTCAACAAGAAACATTTCTGGATGATTCGCCGATAACAACAGCAGTAGCGTATCTGCGTGTTTTACAACTTCCTAAAGCGATCGAGTTTTTGCTTTCGGCCGCAAAAGATGATTCAATGGATTTAATGGTCAGGGTAGGCGTACGTCATGCACTCATACATTGCTACATAAAGGTCGGAAAATTTCAAGAAGCTATTAACTGTTGCCGTGAGGTGCAAACATTACACACACTGGCGCCAGATTTCGTTGAAACAGACAAAGTAATAGATGCATTGACTCAAATCATGGATGTCTATATCCGCCAGGGTCTGTTAAACGAGGCTGTAAATGTGCACACGCAAATCGTAAGCCTTCAAGACCAACAAGTTTCAAAGGACAATGCAATGAATAACACGAAATTGACTTTTCTTAGCAGCAGCGCGGCGCTTTTCATAAGTCTCGAAATGCACGACAAAGCGGAAATCATACTTAGAACCATTATGAAGGGAATAAAAAACCAACGAAAGCAATATCTCACCTATTTCATCATCCTGCATGACCTTGCCGTCGTTCTACTTTGCGAACACAAGTTCGAGGAAGCGAAGACCATCTTGAACGATGCATTACAGGTTGCCCGCGAACTTTATGGAGAAAACGCTATTCATCCCAATGTTGCTATGTGTTTAAGCAACCTGAGCAAAGTTTATTATCATCTTCAAAATATAGAAGAAGCAGAACGTTTGGTTCGTTTGGCCCTCGTAATTTTTTCTCAACTACACGATTATGAGAAAGAGTTGGTCGAGCCTAGCATGGTGGATGCGCTGATTATCAAAGCAACTATACACCAGTTTTATAAACAACGTGATGATTTGTTTAGCACTTTGAAGCAGGCAAGCGAAATTTCTAAGAATTTGTATGGCGGCCAACCACACCGAAATATTGCTTTCATTATCGTCCATCTTGGCTTTTGTGAGCAAGATCGTGGAAATTTCTCGGAAGCGTTGCACCATTATCAAGAATATTTGAAAATTCACGAGAATCAAAGACTGGAACGTCAAGAAAGTGGAGAGGATTGCAAAATGGCCAATGTTCTTGTTCGAATTGCAAACTTGGGAGCAATTTGTTGCTATGATGCTTCGTATCTTCTCTTATGTAACGAAAAAGCGCTGAGAATAGAGGAGAAAATTCACGGCAAAGAAGCCAATCATGCCCATCTAGCAATTTGCTTTATATCACTCGGTTTTTGTTTGATGAAAGCAGACCGCGAGTCAGAAGGAGTGCAGTATTTCTGCAAATCCTTGAAAATGTTTGAAGAGATTAATTTACATGCGCATGAAGCCTTTGGTCTCTCATACCTATTAATTGGAGAAATCTTTGGACAGCATTCGCCAGGAATAGCAGAAGAGCACCTGAGATCAGCAGAAAAAGTTTTGAAGGAGGTCTTAAAGGATGAAAGTGATTTATTATTTCTTCAGATCAATTCCTCCTTGCTGGAGATTTTTGCGAAGACAAGCCGAATGAAAGAGGGCCTCCGGCTGGCCGAAAAACAGAGACGCTTGATTGATATTATGTTGTCTAAATTTAATTCTCCAAGCGCTCATCAGCTTTTTCAAGTGTTCCGCCTTGCTTCGTTTTACGAAGACAGTGGAAGACAAAATACTGCAAGAGATTTGTTCATTAATCTGATTGGACGGATAGAGGAGCAGGTCGATACCGCTGATTCAGACCAGTATTATTTGGAGCGCCTGCTTTGGAGTGCGGAATTACGAGCAGGAGGTATTTACCGAACTAATGGAATGTTCGATGACGCAGAAGCCATGCTTCAGCGTATTCTTTTGTCAGTGGAAAAGACAACTTCAAAGCGGCAATTGGAAAAAGAATTTCGACATGCTGCTCTGTATAATCTATCGTGTATTTTTACGGAAACGGGAAGATATCAAGAAGCACGTAAACTGCTTGACAGTCTTATCAACCTCTATGAGCAAGACCCAAAGTCAATCGATCCCGAAAAAGCATCGTACGCTTTTTTCATTCGTAGCGAACTTAATCGTAAAACCTTATGTTTCAACCTTGCACTCAAAGACCTGGAGAAAGCCTTGAAAACAGCTGAAGTGTTCCGATTATCGGAGTCTACGTCCACATCAGCAGCTGAAATTCTTTATGCTAAAATCATGAACACATTTGGATCAGTTCATGAGGAAAACAACAACCCGAGACTTGCTCTCGACTATTATACTTGCAGCCTAAGCACTGTTGAGGGGTTGGCACCCAACATGGAAACAGCCATTTTCCACGAAAATAAGGCGGGTGTTCTAAAAACGCTTGGACGATTTGAAGACGCTACAATACATTACCAAAAATCTTTGGAAATCAGAGAAATGTTGTATTCCGAGGATCCAGTCATAGAAGATATTGTCAGGGTGCTCCATCATTTGGCTCTCACCCAGTATTTTAATCAACAGCCCAACGAGGCTTGCAAAACTCTGGAGAAGCTTTTACCCTTGATGAGGGAACTTCTTAAGGAGGGTGATTTAAACTTGCAAAATTATTCTTCAGCGTTGGTGATGAAAGGTGACTGTCACATCTTGGAACCTGATGAAGCTCAGCAAGCAAAAGAGGCCTTCGAAGAAGCAGAGAAAGTTCTTAAGTGTCTGACGGAAGGACAGCTAAACAAGGATTACGCTGAAGTTATGCACAATTTGGGTAAGTATAATTTACATCGGTCTCTAGAAAGTTACATGCAACTATACAGATGTCCGGAACAGGTGCATATATAACCATCAGAAAAAGATAGAAACTTGGGACTTAGGAAATGCGTAGAATATTTCATAAAGAATAGCAATATATACCTGGAATTAGAAAGAACTGAGAATGACATTGTTGGTCTCAGCTAATCACATATTACATAAAACATACATAATGATTAAAATGTTTACATATAATGACTAAAATGAGAAACAAACTGATGGGTTCCTGGATGGAAATTCAATTGTCTTTGCATGTGGAAATGATGATCTCATAACCCGCGTTCACACTGTGCTATGAGCTGGCATAGACCAGGTCTAGGCCTATGTGTGAACGTTGTTTATCTGGCCTAGATCAAGCCTGGACCTGATCTAGGCAACAAAATACCGACCAACAGTTTGGTGCACTAAAAATAATCTAATTTTCCAAATTCTCTGTCATAGGTTATGCTTGCTGTATGTTAAATCAGTGGGAAGAAGCAATACCCAAACTGGAAAAGGCACTTGAGTTGAGGAAAATTATTTATGAAGGAAAAGCGGTGCCAGATGTAGCCTCAACCTGCGACTGTCTTGCTAGAGCGCTCTTTTTTAATCACGAGTACCAGAAAGCATTGACTTACTTTGAAGAAGCGTTGAAATATTTTGAAGTTTGCCAGTCACCAGATAACGAGACCAAATGTGCTCTCCTTATTGCTCTTTGTCACAAAAGTTTGAAGAACTTTGATCTTGCCTCGAAAGCGTTTGAGAAAGTCAAGGTGTTGTGCGCCAGAGAATCAGTCAGTGATGGGATGCGAGATGCCGCTCAAAAAAAAATGGCAGAAAATGAAGAGAATACGAACAAACCCAAGGACAATTAATTCTACCATTGGTTTTGTAATGAGCACCGTGACAAATCGTATAGAAGTTTAAGCTATCTTGCATATAGAAAGTATTAGCTATAATTGAGCCAATTAATAGATTTATCCCCGAGCGGGCGCGGAGCGCCTGCGAGGGTACTAATTCCGCTCGGAGATTAGGAATTACACCCGGAACCCGGTAGAACATAGCCGAATCCAAAGTTGTCCAAATTCTTTGTCATGGACGGTCGACGTTGGGTGGTTTTGTAAGTTATGCGCATGCGCGAGTAACGTCTGGTAATCAACGAACGTTCTGATTGGCTAAGACAGAAAGTTTGTATTTCAATGACAACGTCAGCAATTTATATTAACTGTCATTTCGTAAATTTGTAAACATTTTTGTAAAAGCGTTTCATAAACTTTGTGCAAAGAAAGTAAAACGAGAAGAAACAAGATATATGAAGCATGACAGTTAGCAAAGATGAACGTGGTTACAATCAAGACAAAGCCGTGTAAGAGGAATAATTCATAATCTGCAAACTTATAAATGTTTTCAAAGACAAAGGGTACGTGTTTACTTTGTTTATTTCGTATTTGTTTCGCGATAAGAATGAGCCGTATTTGTATACTTTTCAGCTTTGCATGCCGTTTATTTGTTAAATTTTCAGCTTTTTATGCAAACGCATAAACCTGTGAAAGGCTATTACACCTTTGGTTTAACTTCAAAAAGTGTTTTTGAAAGCGTAATTTGAATTTTGGTATCAAAAATACACACTATATTTATAAAGTATAAAACTTTTAGCCGCCGGCGTCGAATGCAATTACAGAATAAAATAACATTTGAAGTTTTTTCTTTGTCTGTGAAGATTTTGTACTGTTTTATTCGTTTGAAACTTCGATTTTAAACCGTTACTTAATTGCTGGCATGGTATAATGCAGCAAAATTGAACGGGCAATGTTTACACTAGCTGCCTTTATTGAATGATGGAAACATTAGCTATAATATACTCGGTAAAATATAATAGGACTGATTTGAGTTTTGTGTCATTTCATAATATAAAGTTTAGGTCAGGTTAACTCAGGAAATTGTGTACTTGGTTTCAAATAGCGAGGGGTTGCTGCATGCATGTATTTCTAGTATATGCATGCCAATGCGAAGAAAAAAGTAATGCTTGCGTCAATGGACGACTTGCGCTTTGGACTAATATATCTTATTTCAGCGGTAAAAAGAAAATTTTTCGGCTGAAAAAGTTCACTAACATTAGTTGTAAATTACGGAAAATATAGCCATGCGAAATTGTCGATGCGAAGTTGTCGAAGTTATCAATTATGTCCAAATAATAGAGATTTTGGCTATCTGCCTAAAAACATTTAAGGAATATTCTGGTCGCTTTCTCTCTCTATATATGTACTTTTATTCTACAGCATTGGCAAAATTCACAAATATGACTTCAATTAATAGTGAGCTAGAGACCTACTGTAAAAACCCTTTCTGGTTTTTTCTTCTATGTATGTATTCACAACAATAAATCTACACTGAAAAATATATGATGATTCATGGACTGACGGGATACTAAGGACATTACATATTCGGTTACAGGGGTATATCCCGCTATTTTTGAGGAAGCAGTGCCTGTCTGCCAAATGAAGCTTCAACCTGCCACTTGCTCGCTAGCCAGAGGATTCTTGCATGAAACTGAATCGCGAGGCTGAAAATATTATTCCCTTACTTTCATGAAGAAGTTCATTGAATACTCAGGACCAGGGCCGTACACAGCTAGCGGGGAGGGCCGTACACAGCTAGCGGGGAGGGCCGTACACAGCTAGCGGGGAGGGCCTACACAGCTAGCCGGGAGGGCCGTACACAGCTAGCCGGGAGGGCTGTACACCGCTAGAGGGGAGGGCCGTACACAGCTAGCCGGGAGGGCCGTACTCAGCTAGCGGGGAGGGCCGTACACACAGCTAGCGGAGAGGGCCGTACACACAGCTTGCGGGGAGGGTCGTACACAGCTAGCGGGGAGGGCCGTACCCAGCTAGCGGAGAGGGCCATATACACAGCTAGCGGGGAGGGCCTTACACCTTTGTAATTATACTAATAATATATAATGTATGTTGGGTTGGGTGCTGTCGCCATGTTACCCGCACGAAACATTTTCTTCTCGAACCCTGTCCGTAACCGCCACCCTTTCCGTAAAATAAAACTATAAAACCTTGAGTCGTACGTCAACAAATATCATTCTGCGAACTGGGGTACATGTGGTTGGCAATTTTGCGAAGTGCATCTCCAAGTAATTGCGAGAAGATTTCTTGTAGACGGTATAGACGTGTATATGGTACTGCGTACTGGTACTAAAACAAATTAATTCTAAAACAAGGTTACCGTAATGGCCTATGCATCAAAGAAATTATTCAGGACATATTCTCTCCTTGGTGAGTACTTTCGCTATTCCTCCATGCTGTGTCTAATAATTCATTGATTTGTAATCTTTGCTCGATTCACTTTCATAAACAGCTTCGTTTACATGCACTAGAGAGACAGATCAAGGTAATGGATGACACGCAATATGGAAAGGTGGTCAATGGCCAGCAGCATTTCGAAAACTAACAAAGACCGAATACCCAAACAACAAACGGTCAGTTCAGGCGTGACATCGCAGAAGACAGAGCTCGTTTAAAGTTGAACCCACCTCCTCTCCAAAGCCTCCGCAAACAATTATGTACATTGGATGATTTACTGTAGCTGATATATATAGAGGGAGGACCGTTATATCTCAATTAGCGAAGGTAGTAGGCGTATATACAGGTGCTGGCGGTAGTTTGCCTCCACCCTTTTCTGAGCATAAATATTTGGAATTTTAATGGAATGTATATACGTATTCATAAACATCGTTTTGTTTGAAAGAAATAAAGCGGCTAGGAGAACCATTACTCCTAGCCAAAATTATCCCAAAAGGGCGTAAAATTTAATGTTTCATTATTGATGCTCCGAAAACTGAGCTACGGAAGGGGTATGCAAAATTCATGGCTGGCAATAGTCCATGCGTAAATCAATCACATTACATAAATGCGAATAAAAGCAGCCTCAAAGTCCAGGTGAAATATACGGCTTATGTTATCGTTCAGTTTATAGTTTATATTAACTGATAGCATTATCGGAGAATAGTTTACATAAACATGAACAGTGAATAATTTACCTTATCGCAGTACACTTCTTAATTCGTTACACAAACGAGTAAATTATGAAAACAAACCTCGGTAGCAAAATTTTTCGACAACATGTTATTAGTGCCACAAATAGCGTCCCTTACAAGAAGTGTATTCGACCGCAAAACGAAACCAACGAGACGTATAAAAGGTTTATATTTAGCCGAAAGAATCGAGAAAAGAACGAGAGCATCGATCAATCACGTGATGGTGATTAGAAAGCTGTCTGAATGACTCCCTCCTTAGAGATCGTTTGGTGCTAGGCGTCAGAGCAAAGGCAACCAGAAAGAAACTCCTGCAAAAAGCTAACCCTTTCACGAGCAATCAACATCGGACGAAGCGGGGAAAAAACAAACCTACGCCTAAAAGTTTTAAAATACCGAGGGGTGCTGAGAACCAAATGAACGCGATAAAATACGATAAAAAAGAAAGATAACGTGGGAATATGCTTCGTACAGATCACCAATCCAACAAATGACGAGAAATACAATGTGAAATTCGTAATCGTCGATGAGAAAGACGCATCTGAGACACATCTTGGAAGCCGAGCAGCCCAACAAATGAAATTAATACAAGTCATCTATGAAAATATTCAGTCTGAGATACATCAAGTCAACGCACCACGTAGTCAGGATCATAATAAAGAACCTAAAGCTAAAATATCACAAGTACACGGACGCAGGATTGGCTTAACCAAACAAGTAATGTTGAGTAAAAATACCCCGAGGTCTTTAAAGATATTGGTGATCTAGGTGATTCACTGCACCTGGAAGTTGAATACCTGAAGCACTCAAGCAATCACGAAAGATCACTTACGCGAGCTTGAAAAACAGGGCATCATCCAAAAGGTAGTTGAGCCAACGGAATGGGTGAGTTAGATCGTAGTTAACAAGAAAACCAATGGGAAAATCCGCCTGTGCCTGGATCCCCAGCCTCTCAACAAAGCGTTAAAAAGATGTCATTACCCGGTCCCTACAATTGAAGAAGTCCTTCCAGACCTTAAAGTTGGATCAAGAATCGTCCAGACTAACGACGTTTAACACCTCTTTCGGTCGTTACAGATGGGATAGGATGCCTTTTGGGATCTCACCAGCAGGAGAAATATTCCAAATGGTTCTAGACCAAGCAATCGAGAGACTTGATGGGATGAGAAAAATCGCAGATGATATACTAATCATCGGAAACGAGGATTGCAGATGAAGAAACTGCAGATGAAGCCGTCAAAGACCACGATGCAAAGCTCAAAGCCCTGCTAACCAGATGTCGCGAAAGAGGAATCAAGTTGAATGAAGAAAAGATTGAGCTGAAGAAAACATCAATGGCATACATCGGTCATTTACTCACAGCTGAAGAAGTGCGAGCTGACCCATCGAAAGTTTAAGCTATCTTCTAGATGACGTAACTGACGGTTCTAGGGGGTAAGGCGAATCCTAGGAATGTCAAACTACCTCGCCAAATTTCTTTCGAGATTGTCAGAAATATCAGAGCCACTACGCCAGTTGACACGAAAAGAGAAAGAATTTAGTTGGTCAACGATACATGACAAAGCTTTTAAGGAAATTAAGATCACTGTATCGAAACCACCTTTGCTGAAATACTACAACCCAAGAAAATCCTGTTCCTACAATGCGATGCGAGTGACAAAGGACTGGGCGGATCATTGATGCAAGAAGGAAGACCAATTGCATATGCCAGGCCAACCCTCACGAGCAGTTTGCAAGCTATGGGATACCTGATGAGATTGTCTCTGACAACAGACCACAATCACTGATCTGAAAATATCAGTGGCCACAATACGATTCTGAAGAATTCCAAGCGTTTGCAAAATGCCACGGGTTCAAACACACACGCACATTACACTCAATCGAACGGGAAGGCCGAGTCTGCAGTAAAGCAAGCTGA